TTTTTTTTTTGCGGGACCAGCAGGTAGGCATAGTGGTCAAGGCACTAGACTTTCACATGGCCAACTGCAGTTCCAATCCCAGACCTGGAGGCTTGAAACTCATACTGGGCACATGTGCATGCATGCCCAAAATTCTGAGAGGAGAATGGAGGAGAAGGGATTGCGGCATGGCTCTCTCTCCCACCCTGGGCGGGGGGGTGATTTCTCACCTTCTCTCTCTCTCTGTCTCTTCAGTGAGCTCATGTACTCAGTAGCAAAAATCTCTCTTTTAAAAAAATTTTTTGCAATAGGACACATGTGCTCACCAGAGAGAGACAGAGAGAAAGTGAGAAAACACCCTTTCAGTGGAGACAGTCATGCCACAATCTCTTCTTTTCCTCTTAAGATTTTGGGCACTTATGCATCTGCGCTCAGTACGTCTTTCAAGTCACTAGGTCTGGGACTCAAATTGCTGTTTGCCATGTGAGATCCAGCCACCTTAACCACCATGCCCCCTGTCTGGCCCAGTGAACTTTACTCTTGATGGGAAGAGCACTGTGAAGGAATTGTTGCTATCCTTTGCAGATTTCACTATAGATTCCTTCAGTAACTTAGTTATTTGTTATTTGAAAAAAAGCAAATATAAGCAAATATAAGGAAACTCACTTTCATTTTTTCCCCAGGGCTTAGTGAGGCTCTACTCCCAATTTCCTCAGTGTCATCCCAGCCGTCAGGTCTTAGGACTCTGTCTTCTTTAAAATTTGCTATAGGGTACATGTGCACACTGGAGAGAGAGGGAGAGAGCACCTCCCGGAGTAGATAGCCCCATTGCAATCCCCTGTTCTCCCCCCTCCTCTTGGGGCCTTGGGCACACACACACCCACAGCCAGTGTTTCCTTCAAACAGCTGGGCCCAGGACTCAAACTGCACCATTGGTCATGCAGAATCCAGCCGCTCCAATCACCACCACGCCAGCTGGCCAGGACTGTGTTTTGGATTAGCTATGTACACATCTGTGTGTCCCGCTGTCTGCCTCTGTGATAGGTGTGTGTCCCATTATTCCAGTTTATACTGCCAAGTCCACAGAGGGAGACAGCAAGTCATCTTCAACTTCTCTTTCCAGCACCTGGCATGTGGGGGTCAAATTCAGCTCTGTCATGGACTGTCGAGGGGAAAGACCGTGTTAGAAAGCTCTGTGGGAGAGAATGTGGATGTGGGAAGAGGAGTCGTAGGGCCCTGAGATACCACACAGGAATCACTAAGGCCACAAGAGTCCCCTTTTCTGAATGTCTTCCCCATATAGAAAGCTCAACCAGAGGGACTCGTGCTCTGAGGACCCACACGTTTATTGAGATTAGTCCAAACCGGATGTTGTGCTGAAGCTCCTCGCCACAGTCAGGCTTCCTGGAGGCTCTGAAAAGAGAGGGTGTGTTATGGCCACACGACAAGCAGCCAGCACACACCTCGGAGGCTGAGATGATGCGTCTTCACGGTCCCAGGGCTCTGTGCTATGATTTGCTGCTTATGTTGTGTCATTGCTGGGCATTGGCTGTGAGATGAGGAAACGGTAACTAACGCTAACACAACATAAGATTAATTAAGAGGGGACTGAGGGGAGCCAACAGATGACATGGTGGTTATGACGCTGGACTTCCATATGGCTAACTCCCATGGTTCCAGTCCCAGACCTGGCAGCTTGAAAATCTTGCTGGGCATGTGGCCATTCCCCCTCAGGGGTGGTTTCTTACTTTCCCTCTCTCTCTGTCTCTGGTGAGCACAGGCACCCTATGGCAAAATAAAAAAAAAAAGAGAGAGAGAGAGTTGAGAAGTGGAGAGAGAACTGTCTTTACAAGCCAACTGGCAGAGAGCTCCTCTGAGCACCAGGGTGTAGCTGAATGTATCCCTGAGGGTTCTCATTTGCCATATATCAATGACAAGCTTAAATAAATGGCTTACAGGATCGAATTCATTCTCCATTTTCATCGGCAGGGGTTTGAAAGTCCCGAGGGACATAGGGAGCTACAATAGTTCTCTTTAATTCTCTCCAAGCTTCTTTTCACCTTCCTAATGAGTTTATGCTGCTGTGAATGATTTAGAATTAAAGATCTAGCAATTCTAAATGATGATCCGAGTTGCCCGTTGCCACTACTGTGCTGCTTGGGAACCCTTTACCTGATTGTTAAACCGTTACTAACATACAACGGAAGCTGTGATTTTCTTCAGCGTCAAAGCAAAACACAAACAAATTCATCTTTTTTTTTTTTTTTTTTTTTAACCAAGCTTAACAGACAGAGGTAGGAACATTTAATTGAGAAAAGTGCTCTCCTCTGCCCTAAATCAGAAGATGTGAACTTGATTCCTGCATTTGTAATTGTCCCCTTGACGTCTTCTGCCCAGCTCTCTGCCACAGGACCCCTTCTAGTTAGGTAGGTGCTCTTGCTCTTCAGGAGATCATTGGGTTTAATTCCTATTACCACCTTGAGAAATACGGACACACAGAGGACATCACAAAACTACTTTTTCTGTGGTAAGTTCCCTCCACAGGGAAACGGATAGCTTTAGCTTTAAAAATAAATAAAATTATTAAAAAGAAAAAAATGCTCACTAGCAGGTGCATGGTTGAAAGGCTCAAGAATCCCCATTTGTCCCGGACTCAACACCAGCCCTGAGCGTGAAATAATCCATCAAGACACCCCATCTCTATTTCCTTACCTTCCTCGGAGTGCCATGTCCTCTTAGGTGGCCTCAGTGAGGAGCTGCAAGAATTCAGACACTTGTTAATGTTCATGTCTTAGAAATCTCTGGGACACCTTCTTTCAGAGCACTGGGAAAGGATCCTCTAGTTGAAGTTTCTGGGGAGTCTTAAGACTTACATGTCCTGTTTTGCTCTACATTCAGACTCCTTAACTAGCTAGAGAACGACACAGAGAAGAGGACAGGGGCCAGCAGATGGCATAATGGTTACATCGCTGGACTCCCACGTAGTTGACCGTGGTTTAAGTTCCGGACCTGGTGGTTTACAACTCATGCTGGGTGCATATGCCTCCAAGAGGAGAACGAAGGAGAAGGGACTGCAGCATGGCCGTCCTTCCTGGGAGGTGATTTCTTACTTTCCCTCTCACTGTGTCTGTTTCTTTCTCCAGAGAGCACACACGCCCTATAGCAAAAATCTCTCAAAAGAGTAGGACATGGAAGGCCCATTTATTCCCATTGCATGCACCAAACATTTGGAGATTGGCTTGCAGAGTGTCAGAAACTGGGCTGGGAGCCAGCAGATGGTGTACTGGTTAAGACACTGGACTCTCACTCGACCACAGTTCAAGTCCCAGACCTGGTAGCTTGAAAGTCATGCGGGGCGCATGTGTGTGTGTGTGCCCCAAATCTCAGGAGGAACATAGAGGAAAGGGTTTGCAGCACAGCCATCCCCCCAGGGGGTGATTTCTCACTTTCCCTTTCACTGTCTCTCACTTTCTCCTCTGGCAAGTGGACGCGCTCTATGACAAAAAACCTTAGGGAAAAAAGGGTCTGGGCTGGACATGGAGGAGGGCAGTGGAGGGAGGGGAGACAAAGGCAAATGAGACACTGTCTCTGCCCTCCCAGTGCTTATAGTTGAATGAGGGGCAGATATGTAAATATCAATAGATCATCATAAAACAAGACGCTAACTGCAGTGATGATCGGAGCCGGGTCACAGAGATGGATAAAGAGGGAATACTTTGGAGACGTAGAGAAGGCATATCGTGTTACCTTTACAAACCAGAAGGGAAAGTAAAATAGAGCCCATCAACAGCTGCAGCTTTCCTGGGCTGAGCCAGAAGACTGTATAGCTTCAAGAAAAGTGATGTGAGGAGCCGGCAAGTGGGGCGGTAGCTAAGGGTGCTGGACTCCCACATGGTCAACCACAGTTCGAGTCCCAGACCTGGCGACTTGCTTTCTCACCTCTCTTTCTTCCTCTCTCTCTGTCTCTGCTTCTCTGGTCAAATTAAAATAAATAACTAGCTAAATAAAGTTAAATAAACTAATTCTTTAAAAAAAGAGAAGAGAAAAGAAAAGTGATGTGAGTGAGAACCAGGAGACTTGGATTTTTCCCATCGCAGTGCCAGCTCCTCAAGTAGCCAACCCTGGCAATCTCGGGTAAACCAGTTAGCTCCCTGTGCTTCAGGCCTCTCCCTTACAAAACAGAAATGAGGTTCTTCCTATCTTACAGAATTGTCAGGCCCAATAATGGCATTAGAAAATGTGACGCTGCAGGGCTGACTCACGTGGGAAGGCTCTGGGTTCATGTGTGGAGACCTTGCATGTGCCGGGCACAAGTGACTGTACCCAGGGCTGACTGAAGCCGGGGGGTGGACTGTGGCATTGAGATTGTGCTGGGGATTCTCTCTGCCTCTCACTCATGGAAGAAATAAGTAAATAAACACTTTTTTAAGAATAAAGAAACAGGTATGTGATGGAGAGAAATGAGATAATGGATAATAAAAACAGCTCCTGGGGCCGGCAGGTGGTGTGTGGTTAAGGAGCTGGACTCCCACATGGCTGACCGTGGTTCAGGTCCAAACCTGGCAGCTTGCTCTCTCACGTTCTCTGTCTCTCTCTGGTCGAATTAAAACAAAACAAGACAAAACAAACTAATAATGATAACTAAGCTCAAATAAAATAATTCTTTAGGGAAAAGAAATAGTTCCTTGGGGCCAGCAGATGGCATAGTGGTTATATTGCTGGATTCCCACATGGCTGACTGCTGTTCGAGTCCCGAACTTGGGGCTTCAAAAATCACACCAGGCATGTGTGTGTGTGTGTGTGCCCAAGATCCCAGGAGGAGAATGGAGGAAAAGGGGTTGCAGTATGGCCATTCCCCCTGGGGAGTGATTTCTCACTTTCTCTCTCTCTCTCTCTCTCTCTCCCCCTGGCGAGCCCACACATCCTAAGGCAAAAATCTCTTGAAAAAGGCTCCTCGGATGCACCCTGCTGCTGACAGTGAGGAGAGGGGTTGGGCAAGACCTTCTCTGTCTGGGTTTGTGCCCTGGCCCTGACTCTTCCACGGGGGAAGAGGAGTTACCTGGCACGTGCGGGCACTAGTTCTCCTGCCCTTACCTTTCACATCCACCTTGCAGTCCACGGACGCCTCCCCCAGGGCGTTAACTGCCTTGCAGGTGTAGATGCCTCCGTCGAAGGGACCAGGCTTGCGGATTTCCAGGGAGCAGATTCCCAGGTGAGTGAGGGCTCTGTACTTGGGGTCGCCTTGGATATCCATCTTGTTCTTCAGCCAGATGATCTTGGGCTGGAAGAGGAAGATGAGGGGCATCAAGAGCGGAGGATGAGAACCAATCACTCTTTCTGGGCTCCGTCTCTGGGACTCTACCCACATGGCTGCGAGATTAGGGCTGTTTGGAAAGCCCCCTGGCCCTTACTTCGTGGAGAGGGGCTCCCATTCAGGCCCTTCAGTAGCCCCAGAGCTTCTCCTGCTGGTTGAGAAGAGCACCTGAAACCTCACCTGCAAGTACCCACTCGCGTCCCACGCTGCTTACGCAGCCCCTTCGGATCACAAGCACGGGCACCGGGGCCTTCTCTTTTTTATAGATTGTGTTGCTAATTGTTCATATTTGGTTCCCACTTGGGCTGGCTTGTGAATTTTTTCTGTCCCCACTCTTTAGAAAGTTTCTAGAGTGGGCTTATCGCTAATTTCCTCTGTGTCGTCTGGCCCAAGACTCATAATCAGGATGTGGTAAAAGTCGTCGATGACGTTTGAGGGCAGGAGCAGGGTACAGTGACTAGACCGTACCTAGACAGAGAGCCTTGCCCAGGGTTGTGTCCCAAGGCTCAATTCTAGCAGCTCAGACATGTGTGGCCCCGGTCAGGTAGGGGTGGATGGGTGAGTAAGGGGAGACCGAGGGGACCCCACTACTACCACATGCACAAGTTGAAGCTCGTGCCTAATTGTAAGTTAGTGACTTCTTCATGTGTGAAGAAATTTAGTGGATTTCAAAATTGTTTGCACCAAAATCAACTTGTATTTTAATTCTATTTTGCCATGGACTTTTACAAGTCCCCTCACGCATCAGCACACACATAGAGCCCATGTCCTAGCTGAGGTCTCAGGGGAACAGGGCCCAGCTGGCACATCTCCCAGGCCTGAAAACCTAGGGTCCTTGCCTCACCTCCACCCTTTTCAGTCTTTGAGCGCACCCCTCTGCCCTCCCTCCTTCGCCTCCCCTCAAAGGAAACATGACTTGCACCTGTCTTGGGCTCCGAACACACTGGCTGCTCCTAAATAACTTGCCACCGAAGAGGCAGATGGTGGGGATAGTGACGGATGTTAAAGGAGCATGCTCTGAGACACAGCTGAGGTTAGGCCAGGCCGGGACAGACGCCGCTCAGCACTGCCACCCCAGAGCTCCCCACTTACCCTGGGAGAGGCACGGACACAGCAGAAGAGCTGGGTGTCATAGCCAGTGACTGTGGTACAGTCTGCCAGAGGCTGGGTAAACGTGGGGGCTTCGGAGAAGTCTCGCTGGGCAAACCCCTTGACCTTGTAAACGGTAGCTGAGGGTACCAAGAGGGGGCATGATGAAGCATCTCAGATCCCCAGCACTCTTTTCCTTTCTCTTTTTACTTTTTTTTTTTTCTATAGGGCACATGCACTTGCCCGAGAGAGATGGGGGGAAGTATATGAATAAAGCACCCCTTTAGGGGGATGGTCGTGCTGCAATTCCTTTTCGTTCATTCTCCTCGGTATTTTGGGCACACACACACACATACACCTGGAATGTTTTTTAAGCATCAAGGTCTGGGACTTGAACCACCTAGTCAGTCATGTGAGAGTCAGCCACCTTAACCACCGTGCAACTGGCTGGCCTACCTATTTATTTATTTATTTATTATTTCATTTGACCAGAGAGAGAGAGAGAGAGAGAGAGAGAGAGAGAGAGAGAGAGGGAAGAGTGAGAAATCAAGCCATCAAATCCAGGACTTGAATTATGATTAGCCATGTGGGAGTCCTGCACCCTAACCAACGTGCCACCTGCCCGTACCCCCAAACCCCATGGTTTCTTTTTAAAAAACATTTTAGGGGTCAGCAGATAGCATAGTGGCTACATCACTGGATTCCTATTTGGCCAACTGCGGTTCGAGTCCCAGATCTGGTGGCTTGAAACTCAAGCCAGGCACATGTGCATTCATGCCCAAGATCCTGGGAGGAAAACAGAATAGAGGGATTGTGGCATGGCCATTCCCCCTGGGGGGTTATTTCTCATTTTCTCTCTTACTGTCTCTTTCTTTCTCCAGCAAGCACACATGCCCTAAGACAAAAACCTAAAAAAAAAAAGAAAAAAATTTTTTAGAAGTTTATTTCTCCCCTCCATAAGTGGAAAGACAGAGACAAGACTCGCCCCCAACAGGGTCTGGAGGCCACAGTCCACAGCCCCAGACCATGGGCAGGTGTGCGCTCAGTGTATTTGGGGAGGCCTCCAGACACAAACCCAGCACCTTCGCACGTGGGGACTGCCTGCTACCATTACACCACCATCCCCCTCACCCTCCTGCCACGCTTCCCCATCCCTCTTTTTACTCATTATCCTCGAGTCCCAGCTGGTGGGCTCTGAGCCTTCCTCACCTGCTTTCTGGATGTGGGCAAGGTCAGCAGTGATGGGGGCGGTTTCGCTGAGTCCGCACTGGTTTTCAGCAAAGACACGAAAGGCATAGGAGTTGCCGACAATGAGGCCAGAGACAACGCAGCTAGTGCGGTGATAGTGCTCCAGCACCGTGAACCACAGCTGCCAGGGCCCAAGACGGTGCCATAAACGTGGGCTCGCCCCACGTGAGGCTACTAGAGGCCCCTTCCGGAAAGCCCCATCCCCCTCCCTCCTTCCCAACTAGGCCTCACCCCAGATTTTGTGTCAGCCTTCTGCACTGTGTATCCCAGGAGAGCTGTATTGCCCGTATCTTGGGGAGGTGTCCATTCCAGGGTAGCGTTGAAGCCCCAGACGTCCACCAACTTAATACTCTGAGGAGGTCCTGGCCTCTCTGGAAGGGCAAAGCCACGACAGTGGGCACCATGAAACCCACATCCACTGAGTCTTCTTCAGGTACCCCTGGCCCCCTTTCCTACTCACCTGTCCTCCCTTCGTCCAACATAAGTGTCACCCCAGCTTCCCCAGCTCTCTGAGATGGTTCCTTTTCCACCCACAGACGGAGCTCCTGAGAGCCACCCACTCCCCCAACTGTACCTATCACCAGGATGTCAACGGTGGCAGTGGCCTCCAGCCCGCCCAGCTGCACGCAGAGCTGGTAGCGACCTGAGTCAGCACGTTGGGCTTCTCGGATGAAGAGGATGGAGTCTCGCTCCCCATTGCGCACGCTCACGCGACTGGCATCCAAGGCACAGCCGTCGTGTGTCCAGGTGGCTCGAGGTTTGGGCTTGCCCTGAGGAATGGGTAAATGGCTTAAGCTGCGTTGAGGCTTTTCTACCCAGCCTACCGCGGTAGAGGTCAGACCCTCCCAGGTCCAGAGTTACCTGACTCAAGTTACAGGAGGGTGCCATCTCCCTAGGGACCCTCTTTTTTTTTTTTTTTTTTTTTAGGGGTTTTTTCTTATGGGCG